AAAATTCTTTAGGCTACAAGGTTCTGGCTGAGCTCCACATCAGCTATGGAATCACTTCCCATTTGAGGGAGCCACTCAATCTGCCATTTTCTTCACCAGAAGCTCCCCCATTTACTTTTCGTATGGGAATCTGGCAGGGAGTGTTGGAAATGATTTTTATGTGACTGTGGCATGTGGCAGTATTGAAATGGACACAATTGTGCCAAATTTCATTCTCATGGGAGTAATGGGTCTCAGATTTTAGATATACTCCGTAAGTTAGCTCATTTAAGGTACATTGTTTGAAAATTGTTTCCCTCTGAAGTAGCATTTTGCCCAATTGAATGTCACAGGCAAACAGGAGAATTTTAGTAATATACTAGAAAACCTGTTCCCTGTTGGGTTGTTGTTTCAGAGATATTTCCTTACCAGATTTCTTCAACAGTGACAGAGCTTCTAATGTACTACCTTCACTGGAAACATTGGGATACATTCAGAGATGTTTCTGCCTTGAAAACAGTCCATGAATAGCACAGTCAAACATGAGCTATATGACATTTTGAATTATGTCATAAATTGCTTTATGATAATGTTTATATCATCAAATGTTTTATAACATTTGCCAAATTTAAATTCCACAGGAGTCTGAGATCTTGGATTTTCGAGGTAGCCTATTCAAGGTATCTTGGTTCAGAAGGCCCTACTATGGTGCATTGTTTTCCCAGTTAAAGGTTACAGGAATCAGAGATGAATGCAAAGCAAAAAAAGAAAAGTAGTTTGATTTGATGACAAGGCTATTATAGGTCAGCATAGAAAATCAGATCAATATGAGGCTGCAATAAGTATGTCATTCTGTCTCTGTTACAAAAAGATGTGATTAGATTGTCTAAAGAGTCAGACATCATGATCAGTGTAACATATAAACACAAATACTAGATTTTGGGCATCTGTTAGGAATATAGTTTTGTCAACATAGACAATTTAATTGTTGAACTCTATTTGAGGCCACACAGACAACAAAATCTTTTATTAAAATGATGAAAACTAATTTCATATTTGTGCACAATATCATAGGTTTTCCAAGCAATCTGACATCTCCCTTACATATTAAACTACAGTTCTTTTTATCTCTTGGTAAACGGATCTGAAAATTTAGTTCTCTGAATTTGATGGTGACTATGGCCCAAAATATAAAGAAGGAACCAGATAAGAGAATATTGCAATATTGTATTTCTAAGATTGTTTTGCCTCGTTATGAAGTATATAGAGCCAATTAATAAGATTCACATATATTGCTTCACAGGCTTCATTTTTTCCTGAATGCATACTGTATTTTGGTGAGAGTTATTTATTAATCAGATTTGTTTGTTGTCATCTCTAGTTATCATCTACATATTCCTCTGAAAGCAAACAAGCAAAAAAGTTTTTCCTACAAATTCATCTTCTTGAAGGACAGAAATAGGATTGAAAACCACCTCCTAGATTTCTCCTGGCAAATCTCAAAGACACTTTTCTCTCCCTCCCTCCCTCCCTCCCTCCCTCCCTCCTTCTTTCCCTGCCAAGCTTCCCAGAGGATTGTCCTGCTGATTCATTCATTCATACTTCTAAGGGGGTGCTAAGGGTCTGTAGGATGATTCCCTTTCTCTTATGTTTGGATTGGAAGGTTTGCCTCTGCTCGAAGGACAAAATGGATAGAGGGTTCCCATTTTAAAGCTACTGGGAGAGGGAGGGGGAAGAATCATCCTACAGACCCTTAGCACCCCCTTAGAAGTTTAGAAGCTTGACAGGGAAAGAAGCAGGAGAGGAGGGAGAGAGGAAAGAGTGTCTTTGGGATTTGACAGGAGAAATCCAGGAGGTGGATTTCCATCCTATTTCTATCCTTCAAGGAGATGAAGGTGGTGAGTGCATTTAAGGGGGTGCTAAGGATCTGTAGGATGATTCCCTTTCTCTTATGTTTGGATTGGAAGGTTTGCCTCTGCTTGAAGGGCAAAATAGATAGATGGTTTCCTTTTTAAACTACGGGGGGGGGGGGAGCTGCCCGGCCAGTCTGTATTCCTAGGGAACTGACAGAGGGAATGAGAATAAACATAAAAGAGGAAAAGATCCGGGGGGGGGGGTTGGTTGGCTGGAGCAAGAGGAGAGCGCCCAACCATGCAGGTGATGAGACCGTGACCTGAAGCTCTGGGGCGAGAAGCAAAGCGAGGCGTGGGGGGGAGAGAAATGATGGCATCACCCTACAGCTACCGCTTCTGCCCACTGAAGCTCGAATGACTCACCGACTTGCAGGACGTTGCCGATGCAGCGGCCGTCGAGCAAAGCAATGGCCTGTGGGAGGGCAGGTGGTTCTCTGCAGCGGGGTCTGTCCTGCCACTGTTGCCACTGTTGTTGGAGATGAGGCTGGCAAGAGAGGTGCCACCACCAGTGGGAACTGTGGAAGCTAGGGAGGCTGCCCATGAAGTGGCTGAAACTCTGCCGGTGGAGGAATGTGCTCGAACCATTCCTCCAGCTGCTGGAAGGGCCACTTCTCCGCTACCACCACAGTGTCCAGCAGGGAGTCCAGCCTCTGCATCTTGCCCAATGGCAGCACTCTGCGGCTTAAGCTGTGGTAAGGGCAGAAGGGAAAGCAACAGTGGTGGAGGAAGTGCAGTGGCGGGCGCCGAAGGTCCCGTGATGCAAAGTGCCCCGCTGAGGCTGACATCCACACCGCTGCCACCCGCCCGCTGACCTGGCCTGCAGCCAGCAGCATACCCCGGTCTGCAGCAAAGGTGCTTGGTGGGCGTAGAGAGCTCCCCATGCTCCACCATGATCGGCCGTTAGGAGTAGCTGGTGGTGAGGCATGGATGCCCGTGGGGTGCTCTAGGTGAGGATGCATGGGAGGGGAAAAATTAAGTCACCCCTGAAAAGACGGCCTAGCCATTTTTTCAGGGGTCAAAAGAAAAAAAGGCCTGGCCTTATTTCTTGAGAAACACGGTATTTATGATGGCTGCAATGTCCCAGGGTCATGTGATCATCTTTTGCAATCTTTTAACAAAGTCAGTAGGGAAGCCAGATTCATTTAACAACTGTGTTCCTAATGTAACAAGTGCAGTGACTCACTTAACAATTGTGGTAAGAAAAGTCATAAAATGGGGTAAAGCTCACTTAACAACAAATTCGCTTAGCAACAAAAATGTTGGGTTCAATTGAGGTTGTAAATTGAGGGCTACCTGTTTATCTACATCAACATTTGCTCATAAATGTGCATATTGGTCAGAAAAAAATTATTACTGTGTATTACTATCATATTTTTGAATGATCACTAACCAAGGAAGTTATGCAATGAGAGTGGCTATAAGTTCAATCAATTTCTCAGATATGTATTTAAAAGACTCATTGACACTCATATTCCTTGAAGTGCATCTTCACATAAGAAGAAGTTGGTTACATTTTGCTTTGTGGACGTTTTATAGAACTAAAAGACTGTATGGCTACAGAGTCCCAAAACAGTTCTCAATAACTGAATCCCCAAGATATTATAAATACCAAATTGGAATCCTTTACAAACTATTACTATAATTCATAGTGTTTTGCATCTGTTATTTTCACCATCTATATGACTAGATATTCTTCTCTTACTGATGTATTTTATTTTAAGAGTGGGTGTGATTCCAATGACATTACATTGCCAGGATATTAGGATTTATTTTTTTTTAAAAAAAGCACTTGCATGCATCTGTTATGTATTCTGCACTAAGGAAACATTCCTGTGTGTGATTTTTTTTTTAAGGCAATTGCTATGGCTACAACCACATTGTAAGGTTCACTCTCTGGCATTTTGATTATTGTCCTTTGAACCATTAATTAAACATATTTTTTTCCCATGCCTAAACAATTGAAGGAGAAATGTGGGTGACTGTTTGGTAGATGAATAATTTAAATTTACTCACTGGTCTTTTCCTCCTACTGCAGGGCAAGCTGAGCAGAATTTTGATCAATTTATTTCCTTGCAGAACTACAGATATATGTCATTATTTTTTTTCCAGGAAGGGGGTAGATACTTAAATTGAATTTTTAATAGATAGATTATTTACAAAATAATTTTCAAAAACTCTATGATCTCCAAATGCTTAAAAATATTGTAAGCTACTCCCTGGATGATTCCTTCTACTTACCTTGAGAGAGGCATTGCCTAAAGTGCCTCTAAAAAGTAACTTCCTTCTTCACCCTTCTTAAGAAATGCAGTCGTGACTGGCAAAATGGAGAGCATGGAGGTTCCTTGTAGACTTTTCTAGAGTGTCAGTATAGGTAGCCCTCGACTAACAACAGTTCGCTTAGTGAGCATTAAAAGTTACAATGGCCCTGAAAAAAGTGACATGCCCATTTCTCACACTTATGGCTGTTGCAGCACACACACACACTCACACACCATGGTCATATGACTTACATTCAGATGCTTGATGGCTGGCTCACATTTATAATGGTCGCAGTGTCCCAGGGTCACTTTTGCAACCTCCTGCCAAGCAAAGTCAATGAGGAAACCAGATTCACTTAACAACCGTGGTACTAATTTAACAATTGCAGTGATTCACTTAACAAATGTGGCAAGAAAAGTTGTAACAAATTTCTTACTTAGCAACATAAGCATTGGGCTCAATTGTGGTTGTAAGTTGAGGATGGACTGTATGTGTCAGCAATTCTCGACGTCTAAGACTGAAGGTTTTTAAATAAGTTTGGCCAAACTATAATTATCAGTCGTATGTGAAATACCTTTCAGGTACTGTGTCATGAGTTTTAATTTTTATAAAAAATTTATTTTTAATTCTCACGTATTAGTACTAAACTATTTCTTTTTTGTAATTTTATACAGAATTGCTTATATGACAGTTGGATCAAATGGAATCTCCTTTCTGGGGGGGAGGGGTTTATATTTGAAATAGACTTTCTACAAAAATATTTTATTGAATAAATGATCTGTTTTTCTCTACTTATGCAATTACCTTCTTCATTTTTCCTTTAGATCTTACAATTTCTATTTTATTTAGGAAATAGCCCGTTATCTCCGTCCTGGCACCCTCCGTGCTCGCTTTGGTAAAAACAAGATACAAAATACTGTCCATTGTACAGATTTACCAGAGGATGGACTTTTGGAGGTAAGGCTAAGAAGAACATTTTAAAAATTATATTAGATTATGGTTTTTTTTTTTAAAGTAAACAAATAAAATGCACATACACTGCTCAAAAAAATAAAGGGAACACTTAAACAACACAATGTAATTCTAAGTCAATCACACTTCTGTGAAATCAAACTGTCCACTTAGGTAGCAACACTGATTGACAATCAATTTCACATGCTGTCAGTGCTTTCACTCTAGTGGTAGCATGAGACGGAGTCTACAACCCACACAAGGGGCTCAGGTAGTGCAGCTTATCCAGGATGGCACATCAATGCGAGGTGTGGCAAGAAGGTTTGCTATGTCTATTAGCGTAGTGTCCAGAGCATGGAGGCGCTACCAGGAGACAGGCCAGTACATCAGGAGATGCAGAGGAGGCCGTAGGAGGGCAACAACCCAGCATCAGGACCGCCACCTCTGCCTTTGTGCAAGGAGGGACAGGAGGAGCACTGCCAGAGTCTTGCAAAATAACCTCCAGCAGGCCACAAATGTGCATGTGGCTGAAACAGTCAGAAACAGACTCCATGAGGGTGGTATGAGGGCCCGACATCCACAGGTGGGGGTTGTGCTTACAGCCCTACACCGTGCAGGATGTTTGGCATTTGCCAGAGAACACCAAGGTTGGCAATTTCGGCACTGGTGCCCTGTGCTCTTCACAGATGAAAGCAGGTTCACACTGAGCACATGTGACAGACGTGACAGGGTCTGGAGATGCCGTGGAGAATGTTCTGCTGTCTGCAATATCCTCCAGCATGATTGGTTTGGCAATGGGTCAGTAATGGTGTGGGGTGGCATTTCTTTAGGGGGCCGCACAGCCCTCCCTGTGCTCACCAGAGGTAGCCTGACTGCCATTAGGTAACAAGATGAGATCCTCAGACCCCTTGTGAGACCATATGCTGGTGCGGTTGGCCCTGGGTTCCTCCTAATGCAAGACAATGGTAGACCTCAT